AGAACGACCAGACACAGGAACAGTTTCTTCCCTCAGGCAATCCATCTCATGAACACTTGACAATAACTGTGAAACACACAACACTATTTATACACTCATACTTATTTATCTAACACACATACTTAGTCTACACCTCAAATTTGCACATAATATACCTGTACATACAAAACTGTCTATTGTAATATACCTGCACATACAATTGTCAATTTATATATTGTTATTCCTTATTTACTTGTTCTATTTTTTTTATTCTTCTTTTATTATCTGTGTTTTTGTTCTGTCGCTGTCATTCTGTTGCACTGCGGAAGCTTCTGTCATGAAAACAAATTCCTCGTATGTGAAAACATACCTGGCAATAAAGCTCATTCTGATTCTGATATAAATAAATAATAATAAATAGAAAAAAAAATCTATTGTAATATATTTTAAAATGTAATTTATTCCTGTGATGGCAAAGCTGAATTTTCAGCAGCCATTACTCCAGTCTTCAGCATCACATGATTTTTCAGAAATTATTCTAATATGCTGATTTGGTGCTCAACATTAGTTATTATTATCAATGTTGAAAACAGTTGTGCTGCTTAATATTTTCCAGGATTCTTTTATACATAGAATTGATTGTAAAATTATAAATGACTTTATTAGTTATTATGATTAGTGTTTAAAAATATATCTGTCAAATATCATAATATAATATGTAGCGAGAGAAAGTGCTATAAAATATCTAACACACAATATTTACTTAAAATTCACTCAAAATAATTCAAATGAAAATGTGCATTATTCATTAATAGCTTTTGGTAAATGTATTCTCAATGGGTTCTCAAAATGAGAGAAACAGTATAGCGATGAAATGTATATTTGCCTTTAGAGCTTATTTCACAATGATTGTTTATAACCTGTCTAAACATGAACATTTTATGCATATGCCTGGTACCTGCTATAGTATGAGACCAGCGATGCATTGCGTATTCCTGCGGGGCTGCAGCGTATAGTGTAGTTGACGATTCGCACATTGCTAAAGTGCGGTTTCTCCCAGCGGAGCCAGATAGAAGTGGAACTGTTTGCACGAGCTCTGACGCTGATGGGTGGCAATGGTGGGAGAGAGTCTGTTGTCCGCACTAAGAAAACGATACACACACACAAATTTACTCCCATTTCAATCTTCAGGACAGCTAGATATGATCTGATCTCATCACAACCACACGCACCTCGTGTGAGCTTCTCTGTTCTGCCCTTCCAGACAGCAGGATAACCCTCAGTCTGTTTATTAAACGCCCAAACCTTCAGCTCATACAGCCGATCAGGAGCTGAAACAATCAGACAATTAAAACAATCGCATGGTCATATTGTAAAGCATTTTGCATACTTTGCATTCATGCTGGTGTAGACCAGTGTGATTTTAGTATCAATGAGATGAATAATTGACATATAATAATTAGAATAATTTTTGTAATTGTACAATTTCATTTTAGTTAAAGTTTTAATAATTTTGTTGTGTTTTTGTCATTTTTATACTTTTGGTTTTTTAAATATATAGTTTTTATAAATGTTTTATTTTAGTTTGAGGTATTTTAGTACTAGATGAAAATGAGAAATATTTATTTGAAATTTACACACACACACTCTATATCTATCTATCTATCTATATATATTTGTATTTATATCTATATCTCTATATATATCTCTCTCTCTCTCTCTATATATATATATATATATATATGACCATATATATAATTTTTTTTTTATGGTTTTAGTCTTAGTTAACTATAATAACCCTGGTGTAGACTGGACTGTTGGCAATTAGGCAATACAGCCAGCTGATCTTCTGTTTTCCCTTCCCTTTTTTTTTTTTCTTTTAGAAATCTAGTTAGTATATTTGCTTGTGAGAGTATAGTTTATGTGAATAAAGTTACTGCTCATCTCGCACCAAGTCCTGTGACCTCATGGTGTTTAACTCTCTTCCTCAGTTTGATCTGTTGAATCCTCTCATTGACCATAGGCTTCTCCTCATTTGCCAGCTCCTCTCCATCCAATTCCCGCCAGGAAAGCTTGAAGCCGGTGATCTGAGTAAGATTGGGTGGTGGCTGCCATGTGACATGGAGGGAATGCATTTTGGCTCTCACTTTGAGCTCAGTGGGAGCAAAGAGCACTGGGAAAGACAACAGAGGGTGTTGGTAAGAATGTCAGTGTTTTGTGTGTGCACTAGCAAGGCTGTACATAAGCAGTGGCGCCTCCAGGACATTTTTAATGAAGGATGTTGAAAACTGCATACAAATTAAACTAGTATTTTAAACAACCATAAAGAAGCCTGCAAGCTTATCCCACTGCCATAATTCATGTGGATCAGAATTATCAAATTTTTTTATTTACCCATGTTTAATCTCCCATTTAGGCTTTAAGAATAGCCAATGGCTTATAATGGGAAAATCACAATAAATTTTGCTTAAAAATAATTAACTTCATTTAATTTTCTGAGACAAAATTAAAATAATATCGGCTGATGACTTCAAACTGGCTATGGACTGAACAGAAGATACACAGATTCATCATCAGATTTTAAGCTAAAATTAGCATAACATCCACTACTGTTCAAAAGTTTGGGAACAGTATGAAAAAAAACTTATTTATCAAGGACACATTAAATTGACCAAAAGTGACAGTAAATACATTTATAATGTTACAAAAGATTCCCATTTCAATTAAATGCCATTCTTTAGAACTTTCTATGCATCACAGAATCTTGAAAAAAAATATGTTTGACAATTTCCACAAAAATATTAAGCAGCACGAATGTTTTCAACATTAATAATAATAATAAATATTTCTTGAGCACCAAAGCAACATATTAGAATGATTTTGCAAGGATCATGAAGATTGGAGTAATGACTGCTGAAAATTCAGCTTAACCATCACAGGAATAAATGACATTTTTAAAATATATTAGAATAGAAAACAATTTTTTTTTTTGTTTTATAATATTTCACAATATTACTGTTTTTATTGTCATTCAGATTTAAAAAAATGCAGCCATGAACAGCAGTGTATTTAGGACTTTGTATTTGACTATAGATTTGAACTTCGTACCAGGGCAGACAAGATCTAAACTATACAAAAAAAAATTATTAGGGAAATAAAGCATGTTGTGACATGTTTACCTGAGAGTTTTTCCTTTTTTAAATGCAAAATATTCCTCTAGGTAAAGTGTTTGGCCCGTGTCTGATTATACACGTAGACATTAAAATTACTATTTAGTCTGAAGTTAAATAAAAATGTATAGTCTTGGTGACTGCAAGACCAATGGGGTGGCCAGTGTTGTTTTAGGGGGATCAACGGCCCACCGGCCGGCCCTTGGAGGCGCCACTGCATATAAGTTTAACCTTGTGCGAGTTGAAACTGCTATCATTGTGCATATAGTGCATTTGCTTATGTGTACGTGTCTGTGTTCACTCACCCTGAGTAAGGTTTGGTGTGTGGTGCGAGGCCCACTCAGAAGACTGACTAAACCCAGCTCGTGTTCCCGCCGCAATCCGGAGCTGGTATGTTTGATTTGGTTTCAGATCCCTTAGAGTCACCTGTGTCTCATTCCCACCCACTTCCACAGAGTATATGTGATCCACTGGAGGGCACACACACACAAACACATGCCAGAAAATAAGTATGCCAGTGAAAATAATTTCTGCAACTGGCTGATAAAGAAGCATGAACAATGAATGTCTGAACTGAGTTTGCTTCTGTCTCTCATTCTGTGTCAGTGTCACAGGCCATCAGACTGAATCTGTCTTTTGTTCCACCTTTATTGCTGTTCATTAAGCATTCAAAGCTCTAATAGAGCAGGAGCAATCAGCCATGTCTGTGTCATTCAGCTCAAAATAACTCTAGTGTGAAGGACACAAGTATGCGATTGTTACTGATGCAGGTATTTTGTTTTGCCCAAAACAAATTTCCCTTAAGAGGGACAAATCAAAGTCAAAGTCAAAGTCTGCTTTATTGTCAATTCTGCCACATGTACAGCACATACA